TGATTCAACAGAAGTGTGATCATGTTTCAGTGCTCTCCGTTGTCACGTCGTAGTGTCATGAAGAAAGAGACGGTGAGACGGCCTGAGTGAGAGAATGAGACAGCATGACAGACAGAGGGAGGGGAAGGAGGGAGAATCTGGCTGTGACAGCCTTTTCACTCTTTATGAATGGAGTTTTTCTTCCCACTCAGCATTCTAAAAAGTATTCGTCAATCTCAGCGCAGTGATTTGGCCCTACTATTGTGGGAAACTTTAATATTCATGAAGATCTTTCTTTTACTTGAAGGTTGAGGCTTTGCTGGGGATATTCACATTTTCCCAATATAGTTACTGTATATATTTATATTCTGAATTATCCTTAGAGATTCAGTAGAGAAGGTGTCCTGTCTACACATGGGCATTGTTAAGTCTTAGCATTGTAGGCTGTAGCCTATTTGGAAATAAAAAAAAATCCAAAACAAATCCATATAAAACAATAGAATGGAACATGGTCTTCGCATTATTTTAATGCCTCACGCAGGAGTAAAGTGACGGAGAGTTAAGGTGCAGATGAGACCAAGGTTCTGTTCTATTCAGTTTAGATTTAGTTATGCAGCACTAATCAAAAGCTGCCCCAAGGTGCTTTAGACCTCCTACAATATAGTATTCTGGAGAAAACCCCAACAATCAAATGAACCCCTATGAGCGAGCACTACGCAATGGTGGCAAGGAAAAAACCTTTCTATGCTGATGACATTCAGTTGTATGTCTTTTAATCCTCACCAGCTGGATAGGCTGTTTAACCTTGATTTGTGCTTGGCCCTTCAGTTACCTTGACCTGAGCTTGAACAAAACTGAGGCCAAGATCATAGCGCCTCCCGAGTTACATTCTGAAATCAGTCAGACTCTTACTGCTTTTTGTTCAGCTGCTAAATCCAGTGTTCAGAATCTTAATGTAATATTTGATTCCTTCCTCTTGCATGTAAAGTCTCTTTTTATCTCAGCTTCTTACCAAATGCACTGCTGCGCGCAGTGTTCAATCACATGCTCAGAATCTGCTGTTCCACCTACAAAACTGAAGACCAGGCGATAGAGCTTGTCAGTCTGGGCACCAAGGCTTTGAAAGAGTCTGCCACTAAAATTACATTTAGCTGACTCTGTGGAGTCTTTTGAAAACCAGTTAAAAACCTTTTTGTTTAACCAGGTACCTTCATTAATTTATAATTAATTACATATCTTAACTTGTTTTTGTAATTTTTATGGCATTACATTTTCTTATATATTTTACACTTTTTGCGTACATTACTTACCTATATTAAAATACACACAGGCAGGCATGCACACGCACACACACACCTACACACACACACACTCAACATATTGAATGCTTGTTTGATGAAGACTGTCAGATTGATAGAGTTTGTGAGTATTGTTAAGTTGCTAATTCTCATCTTCACGTTTATATAAGACCACTAATTTCACTGTTGATTAGACAAAAGCTGTGATCTCAGCGATGTCACCTGGATCTCTGAAAACTAAAAGACAGAGCAGTAGTTCAGCTCCATTGTATCAAATGTGGTTAATAATCTTTTCTTATAACTCAATGAAGAAAGGAAGCTAATCTTTGTCCTGCTGGATGATGAAGATAGTGTCACGCTTTCCTGACTCTCGCACCCCGATTGGACCATTTGGTCTAGACAGCTGTGTTGTCACGGTAATAAAGTGCTTTCCAGGATTCGGTGACAGCCGTTTTAACGCTGAGCTGCTGAAAATCCTCCTAATTTCACAGAGCTGAGGGTCAGTTTGGCCCCAGCTGAAAAATCGTTCAAGACACGCATTCCATCTTCTGAGAGTAATTTCATCATCTGTGTTCTGCCATGGCTTTTTGTTTCACAGGTTAGCGGTGATTTTTCACAGTCATCTATCCCGTTCCTCTTGCTGTGTGATGAAATGCGTGCCCGCTTCTTTAAAGTCACTTTCTGAAACAAAAAACATGGCTCATTTTCATGGTGCATTGCAATGCTAGTGCGGGTATTAAAGTAGGGTCTCTGTTTCAAAAGAAAATGTTTACTTTATGAAATGGAGACAGATTATTACAAACAATGCAATAATTGATCTCTGACTGCTAGAGGGCAGAATGTGAAGCACATAAAATCTGCAAAACGAAGTGACAATAATCTCTGAGCTAATCTACTCTCCACACAAGCCCTCCAAGTAGCACAGCACCCAGTTTACTAAGCCAGAGCTATGGTAGAGCAGCACCAAAGAAGTTACTGTACCTAAAATGGCAAGTGAAAGGGGCTCATACAAGTATGTGGTTTATAGAAGAAACAAAAAACAAGAATTTTTTTATTTTATTCAGGTAAAAGCAGTAATTTGTTCTCTTCAAATAGCTTAGTGTAGTGCAGTTTCCCTCATGTCATTTTGCTATTTTACCCATGCTATTGTACTGCTATTTTACTGCTCCTTTTCATGCTTACTGGAATCATTTGGGATTTATTGGAACTGTCCTGAATTTTTTAAGTTACAGCATACAGCAATACTGCAACAATATTGTCAGAAAAGAGCAGTGAGAAGAGGGTTTTTGCGATGCATCGATGAGCTCTAATCAGAACCAACAGGGAGTAGGAAAAATCTTTAGTCTGATGAAGAAATTTTGAGCAGACATAAAAATAAAATGAGGTTATAAAAAGATATGTCCCAGGATGGTCACCCAACCATTCTAATAAAAGTGTCTCACTGGGGACATGTGCGTGCACGCTTTTTCGGCTATGTATTTTTTGGCCCATGAAAGCCCTTCTTCGGCTTTGTGACCTTTTGATAACTCTGCATAATATTGTGCACAGGAAAGTACATCTGAATCAGTGGGTGTCTTTTGACCTAAACCCACCCTGTGGTCAGAGCATATTTCATCGCAAACAAACTAGACAGTAATAGTTGTTGCACATTATATTTCACACTGTAAGCAATAGTCATTAAATGAGTTCTTCATTTATTTAGGTCTGCAGCTTCTTAAAGGTGCAAGGCTGCAAGGCCTGCAAGAGAACAATTTATTAAGGAAAGATCAAGCCAGTACAAGCTGAAATATTCAATCCGTGATATTGACCAAGGTGTAATTCACACATTTAGAACAAAAAAAGGTTAAGATCATCATAGATTTTATTTTCCTGGAAAGACAGAGCCACGTAGGGAATTCCCATTCATTTTGAATTGATGATTGATCCTACAGCTGACTATGAGACAAACAATTTCTCAAGCAGTATAAATCATCTCTAAATATGTGTGATAGCAGATGTGCTATCACACAGGAAAGGAAGAATTAATTTAACTGAAAATAGCTCTTGCAACCAGTCTGCCCCACTTTGAACCCCTTTGTTTGGTGGAGTGACGCCCACCTACGGAGCTGCTTACTCCACTGGGCCCCCCATCACTGGCCTTTGGGCCCAAGTAGGCTGTGTGAGAGTCCAGAGAGGCTCCACGCTGGGCATTTGATGGAGCGCAGTAGGGTGTGTAAGGTGCAATGACCCATTCACATTGCTCCCCACGCGTTCATGCTCCAGAATAGTCTGACTTATCACATGTAATACACAGAGATGCACAAATCAGGAGTGACAGCTTTAAGGCTGGAGCACTGAAAAGACGAAGAGGCTTCTGGGAGCCGATGTTCCCACCCAGTTCTGACTTTCGGAGGGGACAGTTGTGGGTGGAGAAGCCCATTTGGCTGTTGTTGTTTTTGCCTTGTTTTAGCACCACATTTGCTTTTGTTTGTGTCCCCTTGAACCATTTGGAATGAATGAAACTCCACCCAGAAGACCCATACATACGGCATGTGATTGTGGAAATTCTTCCCTCTCGGAAATGTTTATGATTTCTATAGGCGCTCTTGTAGAGTTGACGCAATTTGGCACACGGTTTAGTCAATCCTCTTGACTTTTGCTGTGCAGTGTGTCCCTATTATTATTCATGTTTCTTCTGTTCGGTTGTAAGTTTGCAAGTGTGCTGGATTAGTGTGAAGTTGCAAAGTTGTGGCGGTGCCTGGAGGTGTGAGCTCTAATCGCCTCTAATCACCTGACGTGTGATGGGCTGATCCCTGCTGAAGCTCTTCGCGTGGTTGTGTTTTCACTCCTTTAACACACAGGCTCACTGGAGCAACTGGACAAGATTGAGCCTTCATCTGAACTTTAATACCATACTGTTAGTTACAGATTAATGCCTGCGCGATTTTTGCCATTCACACAACACCTGCGTCTGCAGCTGTAGCTCAGCACACTTTAGGTCAAGATGGGGTTGTGGAAAGGTCGGTTTCTTTTCCTTTTTCCCTCTGATGATTATTGTGGAATGCGTCGCCTTTCTTCTTCAACTATCAAACAAATGAAAGGTGCAGATGAAAGCCTTTTATTTTATAATCTTTCTTAAGATTTTCTAATTGTTAAGTGGGAGACTTAGATGCCATTAAATAACCTCTGCGGTGAGAAAGACGTAAATGTCATGTCTGGAGCACTGGTGCCGAGCCAAGATGGATAACCTGCAATAATCTATTTGTATTAACAACAAATGCAAATTTTCCTCTAGATTCTTGCTTTAGTTGTTCATACTCTCTCTGCCTTGCAGGATTTGATATCAGTTTGCTTTACCATAGTATATATACACATGTCCTCTGTAAGTTTATAGTCTTGAGTTCACTCTGTAGCTTCTGTGTCTCTCTTGGCATGCTGTGTGTTTGCACCAGTTCATAATGGCTTCACTGCTACCTTTCACACCTCACGGAGCCTCATGCTTGCATCCATCGCCCCGGTTCACCCCCGAATGCCCCCTCTGCACTGCTGTCTTTTCTGGGTATGAGGGATGAGAAAATTTGCACCGTGTGCCTGTGTTGTAGCAGCACCTCGGGGATGTGTAGATATACTCAGCTGTTCCCTCTGCGGTGGACATCGAAAGGGCTGGACAAATAGCACAGTGAGAGAGCAACAAAGTAACACCCTCCTCCCTCTCTTTTGCTCCCCCCCCCCCTCTTTTCTCAGTGTCTGTCTCTCCCAGGCTGTCAGTGTGGAGTAGTGCTGGAGGCTGCAAGGCGACTGTGCTGTGGGAAGTTGCTGAGAGTGCTGAGGGGGAAGTCACTCACAGAGAAACACTTGTACAGAAAGGAGCACTGAGCCTCTTTCACCAGAAGGATATAAAGTGCACTCTCGCACCTCCTCCTTGTTGCGCGGGGTGTGTTCGCTGTGCCAGGACCTCAGGGGCTTGAGGAAAGTTAATGCTGGCATGATGGTGGTGTTGCTGCCTCAGGAGTGGGCCTGGCAGGCTGTTCTCCTGGTGACTGGACTAGCATCACTGAGGCCTGGGTCTGATGGTGAGTGTTTTGATGTTTCTGCTGTCCTGCTGTCTTTATGTTTTGATTAACCATTTGGCTTATATCATAGGCATGTTTTCTTCCTGTGTATGTTGAGACTAGACTGGTTATGCACTTCTTTTACTGGTTGAGTTAGAAGCAAGTTTTCACATGTTTTATAGGCGATATCATACGCTGACAGGTTGATCGTGCTAGCTGTGCACTCGTCGGTCTATTTTTTGCCCTGGGGTATTTATGATGAAAAGCTATTATGATCTCCACAGGGGCTGCCATGAAAACCGGTGTGCATTTATCTCCGCTGTCCTGTCCACCCCCCCACCCCTCATGTCCCCAAATCCCCGTTCATGTTTTGAATTGTTTGAAGATGGACAGCCAGTTGTCTTTTATTATGAATGCCAGCAATGTCACAGTGCCCCGTAAGGTTGTGACAAGCTGAACTCCCAGTCTCAAGAAAAAGACGCTTGCCCATTTGTTCTGGTTGGAGTAGGTCAGTATGGGTATTACCATGTTTAGGTGGTTTTCAGTTTTTATTGCTATTTGCAGATATTATGACACATAAATCAACACTTAAATTATTTGTTTAAAATCTAAAAATGTCAAAATTAATCAATGAATTCTGCAATTTTTCATGTTGCATTTTCTTTTTCTTAAAACCTTTTACACCAACTATTACAGATAATTTTTAAAAAAAAGTTAGTCCTAATATTAAAAAACAGAAACATTAAAAAAATCATTAGTTGCACCTTGACTTTCATACTTCGTAACAACAGAGTTTGGTGTCAAGCTATAAAACCAGCATCTGCTTGCACACAGTAACATGCAGTGTTTATAAATTCTGCCATAAAGAGATGGTCTGGAAAATTTCAGCATGACTCTTAGCTGTGAGTGGATTTCCCTTAAGTGATAGATGGCATGCCACTTCTCTCATTTGTTCACCCAGTGCTGTGTTGGCCTCATCTTGCTCTCCGTTAGTTAAATTGTTTTCTTAGTATAGGATAGGGGCTCATTGGAAAACGGAAGGCTTCAGAAAAAAAGTTGCTCTTGCTGATGAATCCTTTTTAGTGAATTAGCCCAACTCAGATCTAAACTATGCGGGTTACTGGAGCAAAACTCATCAAAAATGCCTCCGAAGAGCAACATTGATTTTCACTCTTCCAAAACTGCAGCGTTAACTAACTGGAGGCAAAGTGTCTGCTTATTCCTGTCAGCACAGACTGATAAATACTTCCCGAAATGAAGCTGAAGAGCTTCTTGGAAAAGTTTTATATTAAGGTTATTCTTGAGCTTCCATAGTTTCACTCCCCTATGCTCAGCCTTTTCCCCCACTAACTTTTATCAATACCTTTTCTGTTTCCCCTTTGATTTGATCTTTTAAAGGTCACCCAAATGAGTTTAACATGTGGGAGGTAGCCCATAAATCTAAGTAGCACAGCCAGTTTGCCACCTGTTTCCCTAGGCTGGTAAGGTTCACAGAGAATAGATGAGTCCAAACACTGTTCATCCTGTGGCAATGCAGTGGAAATATAAAAAATATGGTCGGTTATATCATAATAAGTTAGGCTTTTTTGAAACTGATACATTGATATGTGTTAATTTCCTCCTAGCTATATTTTGGGTTAGGTTTTCCCCATGTTTGTCACTGATCGATAAAATATCTGTGGTATCGCTGCTGTTTCAGCTACTACCATTCAAGGAAAAAATGAACAAAAGTTGACGCGGGAGAAGTTGACATGGTATGTGTTTGGCTTAGTGACGTGAAAATATAAAAGGTCTGAAAGCTTGCTTGAGTACACTGGAGGAATTCTCTTGAAAGATGTTTATAATCAGGAGTCTTCACTGAAGAGCTGCTACTAAAGTAACTTGCCATTTATATTTTACTTCCAGCGATCTTCACATATTTGAAAAATGTGCATTGAACATGCAGTGGTTTAGACAGCCTGCAGGAAAACCTGAATAAGTTTAATGTTCTGTAGGTAGTGTTACATTTTTACTGCAATTAATAATTATGTTATTTATACGAGACAAAAGTCTTGACTAATGCACGTACTGCATACATTATTTGAAGTTATTTTAAATGGAGATCGAGTGTTCTTGGATGCTCAAGGAGGATGATGTCTAACTCAAAATCTTCCAGACAAACATGCAGAGGTTTTTCGCTCAGTACTTTGCAAGGACAAAAATTATATGCAACAATAATATACCTTTCCTTTGGAACATGTTTGTGAAGCTAAGCGCTGCACAGTAAGGTCAGAGTGTAGCGTGGCGAAGCGGTCCAGCAGTACAAAACAGCAGCAGTTGGTCCTCAGCAGGACCGAGCTCCTTCAGCGTTCTGTGTGCTGCTTCCTGTCAGGATGTGGATACGGTTCCCCCACACAGAATTTGATCCCCAGGCAGATGTGCTGCTCTAGCGGTCAAGCCTGGGAATAAAAACTCTATATGTGTGTGTCTGTGTGTGTGTCTATTAGTCATTCATGTGAACCATGTTAATATATCTGCTTTGTGAGGTTTGGAAACTTGGGACTATTTTTGTGAGTTTTAAGAACGTACTGAAGGGACTACTAAACCCTAGTTGAATCCTTTTGAAATATGAAATTATACAAAAAAGGCCCTGTTGTCTAACAATTAGTTAACAAAGTTAACTATGTTTGCAGGCTTCAGCTGGGATTCTTACTAGACTTTAGAGGTGGCAGCATGTGGATTTTGTGATTGTGCAAAAGTCCTTAGTCAAAGGCAAACATACTTGAAAATATATAATATGGAATATATAAGGCAAAAAGAGAGTTTGTGTAATTTTAATGAGCTTCAAATTTAGAATTGGGTATGAGCACCTTTATTATTCCCCACAGCCTAAACTATGTTAGCCAAGCTTTCTTTAGGTATCCTTCAGTAATAGTTGTCCAGGGTTTTTGGAGGACATTCAAAGCTCTTCTTTAGGTGCTGCGTGCTTCTTCTTTTTTTTCATTTTCTGCCAAGATGATTCCCCACCGTTTTTGTCTATCCGGTTATGCTTTTAGCACACAGACAGTGTGTTTGAGAACATTGTCACTGCTGAAAAATAAAGCTGTTGCAACCAGATGTTGTCTAGATGGTATTACATGGTTGATCAAAATATGATTTGATAAGATCCCATCAACACTGTCTGAAATGTAGTTTTTGACAGCCACCCTTCCATTGAGTGCTACTGAGGCTTCAGTGAACGGTAGACTGATGAACTGAACGGTCAGATTTATCTCTCAGGTCCTGCATCAGGTGCATTTGGTGGATTTTTTCCTATGTCTTATCAACATGATTTTCAGATATCTGCTGGAGATGGTTTCTTAAGACTGCCACTTTTCCCCTCCACTAGACCAGTTTGCTCAATTTTCTTAAGGACACTGTGTACAGGATACTGAGAGGTTTTTAGCTAATAGCTCTTTGGGAATCATGTTGTTGGTGCAAAAATACTTTTTATACTGTCAAACTGTGTTATTTTTGTCATTTTCCATAGAGTCAACTAAAGAAATGGGAAGAAACTATGTTTTTTAGACATGCTGCTAGTAACAAAGAGCCTAAAGATGCATTTTAAAATTGGTTCCTGTAATGTCTAGACACAACACTGATTCATCCCTTCATTAAGGTGTCCTTTTATGCTTGACTGCACTGAACTGGGCTGAAAAAGCATCCAATGTTCATAGAAAAACTTTGAAAGACCTTCAAAAAGCTTGGAGAGCTATTGTTGAAGACCCCTTTAAAACTTTACATGGAAGTCTGTAAAGCTCCTTGAAAGCAAAACATACGTAATGTAGGTGTGGCTCAAGATTTTTGCGCTATCCTGTATGTCTTCAGGTTTTTCACCCTAAGATACTACTCTCCTGGCTGTACTTTCATATTTAACATATAGACATGTGAGTGTACTATGCTATACTTACAATATACAGTACTTACATAGATTAAACAACCTTAAGTACAAAAGAGAAGCGTCTGCCCACATTTCCTTTTTTGGGGGGGGGGCAGAATGGCTAAGGTGACATATTGTGGTGGCGCTATGGCTGCAGTCTGTAATGAACCCCAGAATTTTTCAGTCGCTTGTGGCTTTTTCCAGTAAGTCCAGACCACATGAATAGATAGACGAGCAGTGAGACGCGTTGATGGGAATTGTGGGCAGATAATGTTAAAAAAAAAAATAAGAGAAGATGGGTTTGAGATGAGACAGATACACTTGTGGTGTCAGCACCTACACCTGTTTCTTGTCTATCAATGTGTGTGTTCGTCAGCCAGTGTGTGTCTGTCTGCAAACATTTTGCAAGATTCATACAATTATATGCAAGATTAAGAAGTTTAGTGCATCTGCGCACTCTATATATAGGCCTCTGTGTCTCTGTCTCTTTATGTTGCCGGCATCTGTTGTGAATAGAGCAGTTATTTCGTCTGTCTGTGTGTACATCTGCCTGTGTTTGAGTATTTGCATGTGGATATAGCAGCTCTTTGCTGTATTCACACCCATATGTAGAATTTCGTTTCTGACAGTGGAGCTATTTTTTTTTCGAGGGTGGGATTTGAGAAAAATGCAGGGCAGGGTCAACTCCATAAATTTGTCGTGGCATTATTGCTCTGTCTGGTGGGAGCCCCTGTCAGTCCTTCAGAAAGGCAGCCGATAAAGAGAAAACAGGTTGGTGGAAGCTGTGCGCTGGAAATCGATGACCTGATGTGGGTATAGCAGCAGCAGCAGAGAAGAAGAAGCGAAGAGTGTGGAATGTGCTCCTTGGACACTTTCTTGTGTGTGCGTGTACAATATGCGCACATGTGTGAGTGTCTCATGTGGCACAGGCCTTTGAAGCCTGTAGGGGGTTAAGAGGAATGAGAGTGCAGTGGCAGGGTGGAGGAGGATGTATGGGCCCTTTGCAGGTTGGTTGTGACCCCCTCAGGGTCAGAGTGCACCCGGCAGACAAGGGGGAAGATGCCTCTTTTTGAGAAGGTGATTTATCATGGCCACCTGGAGTAACTTATCCTCCTCTGCACCCATGACGAACAGTTAACAGTCTGTGCAGTGGTCACAGCTCACAGATGCCTGTTGTCTAGTCTGTGAAGTCTGCTCCTGTTATACAGCTCTGTTAATTGGAGTGCTTATTTTTCAAGGCATGCAAACCCCGTCACATCCCATTGTTGTTACTATTTTGATTAAAATCTTTTATTTGTGATAAAGAAAAAGGAAAGTAAAAAAAGTTCAACGAAACAACAATGTAGCACCTCAAACTGACTCAACTTAAAACAATCAGTAAAAGTCGAACATTTGGTTAGAATAAGGAAAAATGGAAGCACGTCTTCCATTAGAACTGCCAAAAATAAAGAAGTTCATTTAAAAAAATGCATGTCTTAAAAAACGTTTAAAAAAAACACACCCAAAAAACCTAACAAACAGAACATGTTATCAAGTGGGAATTTCCATGATTCTTCCATGATGGCTCCCATTTGTCATTGCTGCCATTATAAGATTGTTACAGAGGTCATAGTCATGCTTTGCTTAGCACTATAAAAATGGAAGGAGGTTGTGTCACAAACAAGACCAATATTGCTCAGTCACAGCCTGCAGAAATGAACAGAAATGAGAAACATGGTCATAAAGGTGGCAGATAAACTACCGTCAATAATGCAGACATGTTTGGGAAAAGTTCAATCCAGTGTGGAAGCGCTCGCATGTACAGTGCCACTGATGGTGATGAGCTGTGACTGAAGGCTCTCCAGCTGGAGTAATTCACCATAATTACACTTCGCTTGCTCAGAGGGTGTGTGTGTGTGTAATATTGTGTCAGAGACAGAGGAGCTGCCTGTGGAATGTGTGAGGGATGCAGATCAGGTTTCTGGGTGACCTTCAGCGTGCTACGTCGCTGACAATGCAAGTTTGTGTGAGGGTCCATGTAAGCTTATGCATCTCCAAGACGAGAGTAAATATAAGGAGGAAATGAAACGAAAGGTGGGCAGTATATATATGTGCATACATGGGTGACAGTGCACTGGTGTAGTAGTTTAAAGTAGTTCATAGTAATGAGTCAAACTTAATGTGATTTCCAGTCACATTAAGTTATAGGACACAGAATATTAGTAGAATTTGATGCCACTCTCCTGCAAATACAAATAATGAGGCGATAATGAGTAAATAAATAAACCTCCAGGGTCTGCAGATGGAAGTTGGGATGTTGAAAGGCTGGAAACAGCAGGAAATGATGAAAGGTGGTATTGGCAGTGAGATGTAAGAGAGTGAGGGATGAGACATTCTGCAGCTAGACCACCTAATTGGGAGAATGCATGTGACACATTATGTGAGAGTCAGTGTGAAGAAAATGTCACATCTTGGTTATTTTCCTGTCTTTAGTTTAAGAGAGGTAGTTTCTCTTTGATTTTTTTCTTCCCATCATTGAGGCTTTTTAGTAATTTGTTGAACATCAGTGACTGTGCAGTAAAATTACTCATATGTACAGCAGGCTTTAAAACTTGTTGGATAAATACTTTCATTATGACTTCCATAACAGACAGTTTGTATTGTAGTGAGGTTGAGGGCCCATCCAATAGTGATTTTCGGCCTTATCTATATCCTCAATTTCAAATTGATGGCAGCAACATAACTATATTTTTAATGAGATACCACAATGTCTCTGTTTAAACACTTGATACATTTTCTGTGTTCTACTGTGAATAAAATGTGAGTTTATAGAGCTTGCAGATCATGTTCTGTTGTTTAAAATTTTCACACAGCCTCCCAACATTTGTTTAATTGGATTTATATATTGGTCCATCAGTCAATGAACTGGCGGATACGATAGAATCTGCATACTTTGTACAGCAAGCTATAAAACTTATTGCCTTCATGTCAAACAATATGTGTAATCAAGCAAGTTTATTTATAAGTACAAATTGTTTGAGACTAATCTGTTCATAGCCAAATGAACTGTTTAGAAAATATGTAATCCATGTGCTGCTCTACGTAATGCTCATTTTTGTGTTTATGTCATTGCAGTTAAGTGCTGTCATGGTACAACGTGCACCTTGTTTAGCAAAAGATTAAGTGACTCAGAGCTCTTCAAGACAGAAAGTTCCTTACAGACTCGTGAAACATTCCATTCTTGTGTCCTTGTTTTGAATATTTGCAAAACAGATGTGATAGAGAGACCAAGGCCACTGTGAGGGAGGATCTGAACACCTCCACAAACTTCCCCTCTGACAGAAACAGCAACACAGAGTGAAAGGACACAGTCCCACTTAAAGAATAGTCACTGTATTTGGTATTGCAATCTGATTTAGCCTTTTCATCACGTACTCCTCTGGAGGATTAATCATGTCTCCCTTTTGATGCCTGGTTGGCTTTCTGGCTGTTTCTGCCCTTTAGATCTTGTTGCATCTATCAGGGGGAAACTTTTCTTGGATTTGACTGACACTGAGCGCTAACATGGAAATGGGCATTCTTGATGTCTTGAAAGCCTTGACTTTGGCTTCACTGTGTGTAATCTGTTAAACAGGTTAATTTTTTAAATATATATATATACATACATACATACATACATACATGGAAAATAATGTGAAGGTAAAAGGAAAAGTGAGAATCGGACAGAGAGCAAGAGAAAGACATCCATCTAGTGTGGCACAATGCTGTTCCGCTCTTTGACCACAGTGGTCTTTGGGGATTATCTGCTGTCATGACTGATTTTGCACCGAAAGACTTTATGCAGCTTCAGCTACTTTACAGTAAGAGTGAAAAAAAAAGCGCATAAGCTGCACAGTTACTTTTAATTGAAAAATGTTTCTATACCAATGAGCAGGGTTATTATAGTGTGTCATACTGGTTTAAATAATTATACGTCTTTTGGAGATTTCAGCTTGCATTCTTTTTTAGCCCAAATATTTGTTACACGTGTTTTATTAATTTTACAATGTACGATTACAGGTCATATATCTGGCATTATTCACAGTCTAAAAACAATTAAATAACTCCTTTCCATCCATGTTTTCCAAAAAAGGATTTCAAATTTTGATTTGTTGGACCACAGAATAGTTTTCCAGTTTCAGGCCAGAGAGGACAGCAGCCTTTCTGGATCTTGCTCATTTGTGGCTGCTTCTTAGCATGGTAAAGATTTAACCTGCATTTGTGGTTGGCAAGCTGAACTGTGTTCACCCACAAAGATTTCTGGTCTGGTTCTGGTGCTTCTGATGTCCATGACAGAGCCATGCTTGTTTTGAGTTTGGTGAGGATGAGAGGAACATCGAATACTGATTTTCTGACAAAGCTAAAAATACTGATTTCCAGCTTTGTCCCTTGCACACAGAGCTTTTTCCAGATTCTTTGAAATTTTGATGCTATTATGTACTGTAGATGATGATATATTCAAAGTCAATTAAACAATTTTGCATTACAGAACATTATTCCTAAATTGTTCTGCAATTTATAGACACAGTTTGTTTGCAGGTTGCTAAACCTCTCCCCTTTGTTTCTGAAAACTCTTCCCCAGCTGTTTCCTTTTAGTACCGCTTCCTTTTTTCACTCTTTTCCTCCCCTCCCCTATGAGTTTATGAAGTTTGCAAATCGGTCCATTGATCAGTGACGTGGGAGATGCAATAGATCCACATACTTCATATTATGTTTTCACTTGTTTCCTTGATCAGCTCCTTTATCAGCTCTGCTAAACTCTGACCACTTGGAGTTAAATTCAGAACAGCAGGGTTTCTTTCAGCAGCACACTGTTAAACTCCAAACAATGCTAAGCTAGGAAGACAATTGACAGGCTTTGAAAAAGGGGATGTGTTATTATTATTGATCACTGATCACTGATTTTCCTGAGGTGCAGTGTACTAAAGTTTTCTGTCTCCTGTGTCTTCACTGTACAGCTAATATGTTGGACACTATGCTCCTGAAGAACGGGGGGAAGGGGGCATCGGATCGAAGGGTGGAGGAGAGCAGCAGCGCAGCCACAGTTTTAGCTCAGAACATGCTTTGGTGCCACTGCTACCATCACTGTCCTGAAGACTCGGTCAACAACACTTGCATGTATGCTGGACTACACACTTGCATGCTCACAAAACAGACACATACAAACTTTTAAAAAACACTGTGTTAAGCCCATTAAAAGAAAACGCAAACATTTACCCGGTGTAATTAGCCAAAAGACTCATAATTGCGTGATTAGATCAGAAGCACACAAATGTTTTAATTCAGCTCCATTCTTCTGAAACCCCTGAAGCTTCGTGAGGCACAGCTTATTTCTACTCTCATTATCCATTTCAGTTGTTTGTTTCTTTGTTTGTTTGTTTTGTTTCAGAGATTACATTTTAATACTTAGTGGTACAAGGTCTATATGTGCTTAGATGCAGTTATTTAATATATAAGGATATGAATGTACTATTTGTCATCTTTGCTATCTATTTGTTTTGTGTCATTATTACTTCATCTCAATTTTTTGACTATATTTAAAGGTAAAAAATGTACTCATAAATACACATCATTTAGTGTGTAATTACATCTTCCTACAAATTGTTGGATTCTCATAAGCTTAGAATGAATCTATTAAAAATATATAAACGTTAATTTGTGGAAGCCACCATGTTGCCCTGCCACGAATACAGCGGCCACGATCACCACCGCTCTCTGTCCTTCCTCATTTCCATTTCATCCTCATCGTCCTCACCTCAAGCCTCATCTCCTGAACTGAAGTCAGGGCTCTTTCACATTCAAAACATTCATAAATGTGCTAGTGTATTCCTGGTATTGTCACAATTACTCATGCCACTAGATTAGACACGCGACTAACATGCTGACAGTCAATAAAAATGATCTTCAGATCTAAATATTTATTTGGATTTCTGTGATGGTGAAATTGTGTGCATATTCTTTGTAGGACTGATGGTTACTGCTTCACTATGGTGGAGGAGGAGGAGGGGGGGATTGCTGTACTCACTGCAGGTTGCCTGGGACTGGCTGGCTCTGAGTTTCAATGCAGAGTAAGTCTGCTGCATGTGAATGTGCGTGTGTCACCCGTGAAATCTTTTTAAACCTTTATAAGCTTTACTTGACTTACTGAAGCTGTTGATGAGACCCATTTGAATAAGAATTGTCCAGACCATTGTGTTTACTTTCTACACAGTAGAAGAGCTTTTGTTATATTACAAAATGCTAACTAGCCTCCTCTCATTAGTGTTACATAGACATGCACAGTTCTGACATTTTGTTTGTGTACATGAAAGGACACGTGGAACGCACGTTCAAGGAGAGCTCTCGAGTGTTGCACGGATCAAGACTTCTGCAACAGAGACTTGCGTCCCACCCTTCCTCCACTGATGACATCAAGTAAGACAAACACACACACACACACACACATCCACTCTTTCACACATTTTTTTTTTTCACATAATGAAATCCTGCCCCTCTTTAAAGTGTGAGTGGCTTTCAAAACTGGCTCTTTTAGGCCACGCTGGGTTGGTGATGGGTAGTGACAGTTTAAGCTGTTACAAACCACAGTGTGGTGCTGGAGTGAAGTGGCACATAGAGAGACAGAGAGAGAGAAGGAGAGAGAGATGAAACGGAGCCTGCAGATTTGGCTTGTTCTCTCACCCTCTAATGAAAAGGACAGCCTCTCCCCAGGGCCTGCTTGAGTTTCTTGCCTCAGGACGGATGTGAGATATCTGTCCATCTGTCATGCCACAACCCACTAACTAACACACACATACACACACCTTCTCTCTCCCTCTGGCACATACACTAACCTATGTGTATTTTTTATACATTCAAGCTACCTCAGCTGTTTTGTTATTTGACTCTTTTTTCGTAGTTTGAGCTTCATTCTTATACGTTTTAATAACAAGGAACAGTTCTTACTGTGATCTGAGGATAGGATAGAACAAAATCTCAATGGGCCAGAAAGGAGTGTTAAAAAAAAGTTGCAACGCGGCTTTATCACCAAGTGAAAGATTAGCACAAGAAAACAGCAAGCGCTGCTCTCACGTCTGAGGATGAAGTCAGTTTTTAAACAGTAACAATGGACAGTTATGGTAGTAATTTATTCTATGCATTATGTTTTCCTTTAAATGTAGGTTCATTTGAAACATTACTTATCATCAGTTAATTTGCAGTGACCTTATAAGAAGTTCTTTCTCCACGAATTCTTATTGTGTTTGTGTGTGTTATTTTTTCCCCACCATGAAGTATCACTGTTCAGCCATTCGTGTTTCTGTGCTTCTGATTGACAGTGCAGAAAGTCTAGAGCCCCAGAGCTGCTTCAGACCTCTGGGGTTTCTGTAGATGTCCGTGTGACATCTGATATGTGAGATTTGGGAGCGGGATGTGATCGATAAGGCAGTAGGAAAAGGGGGTGCAGGGAAGAAATAGAGAGATGGAAGGGGGGAAACTTGTCCCTGCCAATGAGAGATATTTGGAATGACGCCCATGAACAACTGACTGTCACCTCCATTTATCAGTAGTTGTTCTGTTGACTTTCCATCTTGACCAGACCAGGATTTTTTTTTTTGTTGTTGTTTCAAAATCGCTAAATTAAAAAAAATAAAAAACTCTAATTTACATCTTCTCATCATTACATTTTTAGATTACCACAGTATCCAGTACATGGCTCTCTTAATTTCAGTCACAGTTTGCAGCATCATCCTTGGCATCATCCTCGTATTTTGTTACCTAAGGTAAGAAGGTCGTCTCATACACACATAATTTAAACACTTTCACACCTCTGGATGTTCACTCAGCAAACTTTCTGCGCCAGATATAAACGGCAGGAGTCACGGCCACGCTACAGTATCGATCTGGAGCAGGATGAGACCTACATTCCCCCTGGGGAATCTCTGAAGGACTTGATAGAGCATTCCCGTAGCATTGGGTCTGGCTCTGGGTCAGGACTCCCTCTACTGGTAAGCAAAACTCTCTACACCTCTGCGTCACCTCAAGGTGAGATTAACTGTGATAAAATAATCACTGTGTCACTCCATTGTTTGTAAATATATGCAGAATATGCAGAAGAAAATGTCACACAATGATTTTTAGTGCAGTAAAATATCTGAATTACATCAACCTGTTCGCTCGTATAAAACTTAAACAGAGCAAGATGCTCAGAAGGAAGTTTTTCTATATTTATAATGAAAAAAGTGGATTTTAAAGAGACTTGTCTTTGTAAAAATGGAATTTATTTTGTTTTGTTGTTTCATTAATTTGTTTCCAGGTGCAGCGCACCATCGCCAAGCAGATTCAGATGGTTAAGCAGATTGGAAAAGGACGATATGGAGAAGTCTGGATGGGCAAGTGGAGAGGAGAGAGAGTGGCTGTCAAAGTCTTCTTCACCACTGAGGAAGAAAGCTGGTTCAGAGAGACTGAAATCTATCAGACCTTCCTGATGAGACACGACAACATACTGGGTAAGGTCCTGAAAACTGCGAAGTGAGTGTAAAAGAATGAATGCACTTAGTTAACAGTGAGCAGCGGTTGCAATCAGCACAATGAAGGTTTGTTTTTGTTTTTCTTCTCAGAGGTCAGTTAGGGTCAGGAAAGTAGTTACGCTGCAGAATGTGTTAATGTTGCAAATGTAATGGTAAAGACAAAAATCCAAGAAAGAACAGTCAGTTGCTGTATTAAATGTATGAAAGTTAATTTAAGAAGAAAAAGGTGAACTTCCAAATGGTACATCTATGAATACAGGAATAAGGCCATAAAATAACTAATACCAAAAGGAAACCTAAAGTCCAAGTTTGATATGCAATTTTATGCAAATGCATAAAAGGATCGACAGTTCCAAAAATAATTTCCCATTCCAAGTTGGTGTCCCATGGAGCCCTGGCACCCCCATCTGTTGCCATCCTGGGCGGGCGTACCACGTGACTTCCACAGACGACCATTCTAACATTTCCATCGCTATCAAAGTCGTTTTTTTGGTGGGTTATTTTGGAGTTTTGATAGGGGACCATCTTGTTTGTGCCACACATTTGTTTTTCTCGAAGTATCTTGATGCATGTCCTCAGATTCAGCAAAGACTGATTTATATTACCTGCTTCAGGTATACTAGTGCCTTCTGCTCCTGTCCTGCCAGGTCGCTCACTTCATGCCAAGTCCACCAGGCACAGCTGCCTGACACTTATCTGGTTCTTATCCTGGAGAACATTCTTGCCTTTTGCATCAAGAGGGGCCTGAGCCAGTTTAATAATGAACACACTGTGGGAGCGATTGGATTTTCTGTTCAGCCAAGTGTTTGCAACCTTCCTCTTTTTTTTACCTCTCCAGAACACTTGAAAAGCCTCCTCTGCAGATTTGACTTCCACCTCCAGACAACCAGCCACGTACATGATGTGGGCTTGATTGCATCTTTCCTCCAGGAGATCGTAGATGTTGTAGTTGTAGATTTCTACATAGGAGATGAAGCTGCTGTAGCTGCTGTCATCATCCACGCCATCTGATTTAGAGGCCTCATGGCAGCAATTTCAGGATCATCTACTTCAGTCTGAATCTCCATACCATTTTTATCATCAGTCTTAAATACATATCTCTTGGCCTAGTAAGGACCTAAACTGTTCAAGATCATGTCAACGAATAGTAATATAAGAAAAAAAAGAAAAATCTCCACAGTTCTTTCACATGTTAGAGGAATGCTGCTGTAATGAATGAAAGGAATCTGTCAGCATGACTCTTTGGCAAATGTGTAAAATTACTTTAATAGTTATTGTATAATCATATTTTCTTTTCTTTCTTTTTTTTATGTGGATCTATTGTTAAAAAAACAGAAATTTCTGCAGTAGTGAGTGATAAAATATGATCTCTTCTGGTATTTATTTGCTTTTTAGTACTTCATTACTTTGGTATGGTATGAATAGCCACGGGGGAGGACTTTATCAGAAGGAAAAGCTGTAAAACTTTTGAAAATTCAGGTAAAAGTCCAAAATTTATGCTGTCATTCCAATATAGAGGGCTGGATTGGAGTGTCTCAAGCCAATTCTGGCCCCCAGGCCTTACTTTTGACACCCCTGGTTTAGGCTCTTCTTGGAACTCATTGACTGGACTGCTGACTTAGCCTCTGGGGTTAACGACTAATTTCTGGAGTTTCAGAGGGCTCTGGAAGTTTTGATAACTGAGTGCCAATGTCAAAAGCCCGGGAATGATTGATGGTTGCACATTTAGTATTTATGCATCTGCTCAAAGGGCTATATTTATATTTATGTAGGTTTTATAGGTTTTTCAGGTTTATTAACATTTGATTTCTATGTTAATGTTAAGACGATTTAGATTTAAAACTAAAAAGGTCTCATTTTGTTCTGCTTCCACACTCTGACATTAACTGTGGATGCCAGTTGCATGCGGGTCAGACTTTGAAATCTCTAGATTTAGAGGAAAGGAGTGTTGGGTTTCTCGGAACTCATTGTTAACAAGTGTAGCAATTAAAGTCTGAACAGCAAGCTGTCATAGACAAAGACAAAAAAAATATGAAATATCTGTAAAGATACACATTTTTTCAACATGTTTCCAGGGAGATATAGCGATACACTGGGTTTTGCATTTCAAAAGCAGAGGTAATAACTGACTAACAAATGGAAAATGAGTATTAGAAAGAAAAAATACAGTGCATGGTTCCTACTTCCATGCACTATGTTTGATTGTTTTGGAAGTTACACACACAAATGGATGTTCAGTGACTGAGCACAAGTTGGTGAAATGTCCCCAAAAGTGAATGAAACCATGCGCATTGATTTCTGTGTGTATATTTTAATCCCCTCACACCAGCTATCTAATCCCCAGGATTCATTGCAGCCGACATCAAAGGAACCGGCTCGTGGACTCAGCTGTACTTAATTACAGACTACCACGAGAATGGCTCTTTATACGACTACCTCAAGTCCAACAGCTTAGACGTCAAGGCTCTTCTGAAGCTTTCGTATTCCTCCATATCAGGCCTTTGTCATCTCCACACTGAGATCTACGGCACACAGGGCAAACCAGCTATTGCACACAGAGACCTGAAGAGCAAAAACATCTTGGTTAAAAAGAATGGATCCTGCTGTATTGCAGACCTCGGTCTGGCTGTCAAGTTTAATAGGTACACAAGACATTTTGAGTCTTTTGAGCGTTTATATTAATACTGGACGATGCTAAAAATTCTTTGACTCGTTCCTTTTTTTTCCTCCCTGTCTCAGTGACACCAATGAAGTGGATATCCCTCCTAACCTACGCGTTGGAACAAAGCGCTACATGCCACCTGAAGTACTGGATGAGACCCTCAACAGGAGCCACTTCCAGTCTTTTATAACAGCTGACATGTATAGTTTTGGCCTTATTATCTGGGAGATGGCCCGACGATGCATCTCTGGAGGTGAGGAAGATGTGTTTATTTTGACTTGAAGTGTCTTAATATTTTATTAATGATAATTAATGGACATTTTCTTTCATTAAACTCCAGGTATTGTGGAGGAACATCAGCTTCCCTATTATGACCTCGTCCCGTCCGATCCTTCATATGAGGACATGAGAGAAGTGGTTTGCATAAAAAAACAAAGACCTTCTTTTGCTAATCGATGGAGCAATGATGAGGTACTCTTATCTTTATCCATTTAACTTAAACTTAATGGTGTTTATGTGTGAATGTCATTACATCAACATGGTTACTTACATTAAAATAAATCCATGTAAATATGCATGAATCTGCATTCTAAGTGGAGATTTCTGCCTCATAGTATGAGAGAAATGATGCATTGAAACAGCTGTTATTAGCACAACAGCTGTTAATCATACACTTTTCCAGAGTATTCTTTAGTTTACAGTTTACCTGTAAAACTTTATCAGTCAAATTATTTCCTCTGCCAAGGAGGTTATGTTTGTAGTAGTGCTTGCATGCGTATCATTCTTCCTGTATGTAAACGTGATGCCTCGAAATGTCTTGAATGGATTCTGATGAATCTTTGTAGCAGTGTAGATCATCCACAAAGGTCATTCAAGGTCAGGTTTATGATTTATTGGTTGGAAATTGAGAAAAGGGCTTATAACTTAGAAACTATGATGAAGTGTGGTGTGTATTGTCAAAATATAGAAAGCTTTGTATAAGGATTTAAAATAGCATTTCATATTTCACCTTTGAAGTGATTCTACATTGGCCTTTTTAAACTATGTTATTTCTACAACATATAGAGTGAGCATACAGGGAATGATATATGGGGTTTCTTAATATCACTTTTTTAAAATTTCTGTGTTATGTGCATTACAGTTATTGATTATAACCGCTTTTTCTAATTGATATTTATTATTAAATGCTACCCATTTATTATATCCACATAAATAAATAAAATAATTATACTCAAAATGATATCAAGTATATTAAAATGGGTTTCAGCTTGGCAAATAATAAAAAGCCTGCACTTTGCACATAAACACAACGCTATTCCCTTTAAAAAAAAACAAAGGACAGCCCTGTTTCTAAGCTATAGGTTGACCTTGTAGGTCTCGGTGGATGTAAGGTACATTTTTGCTAAACATGTTTTTGCATGCCCATAAATAATTAGTAATCATGGATTAAACCATTTGCCTAAAATGTACTTGTATTCTTATGCATATGGTCGTGTGTGTCTTTAGTGTCTACGACAGATGGGGAAACTCATGTCGGAGTGCTGGGCTCACAATCCAACTTGTCGTCTCACAGCCCTAAGGGTGAAGAAGACTCTTGCGAAGATGTTAGAGTCCCAAGATATCAAACTGTGACAGAGAGTCCACAGAAAAGATATCATCTCCCAGAGTCTCATCATTACCACTGGCACAGGCCACTCAAGCTGGCCAGAAGAAAGGGAAGAAGAAAAGAGAGACTGTGAATAATAGAACAAATATAACTGACAGGGAGGATGAGTGATAGAGATAATGGTCACCGTAGGGCCAGAATAATGATATATACCAAAAAATTTATTATATCAGGGGACATCTGCTCTACCATTGTCTGAGGCGCCTCTCCCTCAGTGTTCAGACTGTGCTTTCTGTGAAAGCTAAGTGGTTTCTGGTTCCAGACTGTTCAGGGGGCCTTGCAGGACTAAAATCTGGAGGATGCTCTTGCGCTGCTCCTCTAAAGCCATATAGCAGTATTCTACGGGCAGTCTTTTGTACTGTCAAAGCTGCTTTGTGTGTGTGTGTTTTGCTGTTTTGTTTTTTTCTGAGTCAGCCGCTGCATGCTGTGATATCACAGTGGACTTATGACGATGATAGTCATCCATTGACCTCAGTGTAGAAGATGTGGATTCATACCATTATTATTATTGCTGAACAAACAGAAACATGATTAATATATATATATATAGATATATTAAACAAACAAATATACATGCATACACACACACACACACACACACACACACACTCAAGGTGAATCAAAAAAGAATCATCTGATTTCTGATTTCAGTGTGCTTTAATTCAACAGCCGGAGACAACAGAGACAATTTGTGAGGTTCATGTGGTTGTTTTTGTAGTTTGACTATCGTATGGATATATACCATCCGTCCATATTTAGCCTTTTAGTTTAAAATGTACAGGATGGCTTTTGAAACCAGATGATTCTTTATAACCTGTGTGTG